TAGATAGATAGATAGATAGATAATCAGCTCTTCTGTTTAGTTGTGGTGGTCATGGCATGTGTACTCTGCTGTTTTCTGGCAGATCCATTAGTAGTATAATGTGTATAATAAAGGATTTGTATGTAGAGATAGTAGTACAGGGAACAGTCAGGGTGACTAGTCCGGTAACACGCCCAGGTTAGTTCATTGTCACAGAGCTCTTGTTGGGACGTTTGTAGACACCATAGAAACAGCAGCTCCCTGCCAGACTCGGCCTGTCCAGATCTCCACCAGCAGGTACTGTACATCTCGTCACATAAACACTTCACTCTCTCTATTAAAAAAGCATTTTACATTTCCAGTCCTTCTGCTACAGTACATAGCACATATAGCACAATACAGCTCACGTTACACGTGGATTTTCTAGAACATACAAAAAAAGTGCAAATTAGATGAGATGTGAGTGACTGTACTGCAAGATTACAAGCAATGTCTGCAAGCAGCAGAAAATCTGCAGGTTGCTCAATCCCAGGCTCAACACACACGTTACAATCTGCTTGTACAATCTCCTTTACTACGCCAAAAAACGTTGAGTTCAGGTGCCTTTGGAGCTCATTTGTAAATGTGCCCAGACTCATGTAATGCTTTTCTATGACTGAATGCATACCTAGACATCCAGCAGTGTCTAGGTTCATTCAGTCTGGAAGCATTCTGGGTCTGATTAGCCTGGTTTGACGCATGTAAACGCAACTAAGCCCAACACAGGAGAAAGTGATCTGGGAAGCATAAAGTTGTTTTCATTTATCAGATAACTTCTCTTGTGCTTAAACACAGCTGCCTAATAGTGTGCATTAGACCTTAGATCTACCAACAAGCATGTAGTACAAGGGCTTCACTGATTGAATACAAACTGATTGCATAGTTTAAGTTGGTCCTCATATTACATAGTTTTGGTAAATCCATGTTTTGTTGTAGAAAGATTGTACGGTCAGATTTTAACGTCTATGTTGACCCATAGATCTACCAACAATGTAGTGCAAGGGCCTGCCTGATTGGATACAGATTGATTGCATGGTTTAAATTGGTTGTCATATTACATAATTTTGGAAAATCTAAATTGGATTGGACAGAGATTGTACATTGATATTATAAAGTGTATGGTAACAAGCCTTAAGTAGTGTATACAAGGTAGATTTATGGACACTATATCTTGTCAGAACGTCTGATAATGCCATCTGAGACTTGATGATTGTCATTCGAAATTTCGTTTGATTTAACATTCAATTTTGGAATAAATTTAGTTTTCTGAATGAAATCCACATTCACTGTTAGAATTTCATACGATTGAGAAATATTTTCCAACATCCTCCTTCAACCTTTTTCATCACTGCGGCCGAAATTGATCGTCGGTTTGACCCCATAAACTATGAGAAAGTCAAATGAACGTTCTGAAATCATTTTCGTTCATATGAAATTCTATCCGTGTTTTCGCTACCTTAGGGTACACACACTCTGGTGACTTTGATTTCATGGTTGACAGTTATACATTTAGACTTCAAAGTCTCTTCCTGCAGTATCTGCTACATATACTTGCAGTGGGTAGGGCATTGTAGTTGGATGGCAGTCCTTAATTTTCATACAGAAATGGTGGAAATTGGAAATTGTTATGAGCAGCACACAAGATTATGACACTCATGCTTCTGACATCTTATACTGATAATACGTGACCATTACTGCACAAGATGCCGATATGAATCCTAAGTGAGTTGCCTTAAAGGAATTGTCCCAGCATATACTTCCCTGTTTTAACATCAGCATTGTAATAGGAACACATACTTGAGTTGTTTTTGATAATGCAATCAAAGCTTACTTTGTAGTGAGTGCTGCCTCCCGACTGCCCATCACTTTCATCAACTTCCTGGATTCCCAGTGTGCTTTGCATCTCTTTCCCTGCTGCTTGATGTGATGTAATCTCAATTTCTCAACACTATATATCCCATTATGCTTTGCTTCCTGTAAGCAATGACAGTGTTACATTGTTCAGATGTTGAGTTTTAGTTCAGTAAAATGCCAGAAGAGGACATGACTTTGACTGGGAAAAACCTTGGGGGCACCTGGAATAAAGAAAATCTGTTGTATGTCCCCAGAGGCATGAGTTTTATCACATGTCTGCGCTCATAACTATGGGTACTTAATGTCAACAGTTTTGCGGTATTTTCCCATACATGTCAGGCCGTTGTCCGCATACATACTGCCACTTGGCAATGGTCTTTATTATTGTGCATGTTTGCGCACATACATAGTTTGTATTTTATTTCTATACTTTATGCCTTATTTTGTATGCCTCACTATTCTCAATGAAAACATTTTGTGAGAAAAAGAAAAAAATCTGTTGTATGGCCACATCACAGTGATAGTGGGAGTGGCTTTAAGGTTAAACAGAACCTGAGACTAATCCCAGTATACACTAACCACTAGGGATGCACCTATACCAAGTATTTGGGCGAGTACTCGTACTCGTCCAAATGCTCCCGATTGTTAGCTTAAAGTGACATTAAACCCTCAGATTTTTTAACATAAAACAATACTGTAATGTGTGCCTTACGGTAATCCATGGTTGTTTCCCTTCTCTTTGCTGCTCTTCCTTTTAAATCCTTATCTCTTCTCATGCTTGGGCAGAACTTCCCTTTTCAGCTGAGGGCCTCTTCCTGTAGTGCTGGCTCAGGTTACAAGCCTATACAAACGTATACACAGACACCGTGTATCCATTCCTGAGACAAGGCAGTCTGCTGCAAAACAGAAGTTCTGCCCAGCATGAGAACAGATACAGATTTAAAAGAAAGAGCAGCAAAGAGAAGGGAAACTACCATGGATTACAGTAAGGCGCACATTACAGTATTGTTTTATGTTAAAAAATCTGAGGGTTTAATGTCACTAAGTTTTTTTCAATTCAGCATAATAATTTTTCTCGCATAAAATGATAGTAAGTTCACCAAAGTTCTACCAATTACAGTACCGTGTTTCCCCGAAAATAAGACACTGTCTTATATTTTTTTGCCCCAAAAAAACACACTAGGTCTTATTTTCAGGGGATGTCTTATTTTTTTTTAATGTGCAACAAAATGTACAACAATCTAAAGTTATCTGGTATCACTCCGCCTGTCACAGTAACTAGCGCTATAGAGAGGAAATATCGGCTAATGCGGCTCTGCTCCCTCCGCCGCCGCAGCCTTGCTTTCTACTGCGCTGGCTTCCTTTGCCATCAGGGGCAATGGTACCAGCAGTGCAGCAGTGGGAAATCAGACAGTGGACAGCGCGGTAAAGTACGGTACCATTTACTGTTACACATTACAGTACAGTACCATTACATTAAGCAGTGCCTTCAGGGGGACAGCAGTTGGTGTAGTATGGTACTAGAGTGCTCCCTGTCACTGTGCTGGCCGGAGGGAGTCCCCTGTCATCCCCTTAATATAGTATGTCACTGCAGGCTGATACCATCACTCCTGCTCTTTAAGTTTCCCCTCACATGCTACCACCAAACTAGGTCTTACTTTCGGGGTAGGTCTTATATTGCAGGAATCTTGAAAAAGAGTGCTAGGCCTTACTTTCGGGGGAGGTCTTATTTTAGGGGAAACAGGGTAGTAGCTAAGCATAAAGGCAATTCTGTAGTAAGTTGAAGTGTTGTTAAATTTGATATAATCTCTTAACTCCTAAGTTCCAGAAGATATGAATCAAATCTTTCCAGTTTTGGGAATACCTCCAATAGGTCAATGGCTAGAAAGGGTAGAATCTAGTAGGTTTAGCTGGTGTTACATAGATTGGGTATACATATTTATTTCTGGCAGATACCAGAGTGGTAGAGGGTAGCTTCCAAATCTCTTCCCAGTCTTCTTCATTCGATGTCAGGGAAGTCCAAAAGCCAGGAAAGTCTACACAGTTATACATTATGCATATCTGTAAATACCAAAGGTGCTTGTATTGTTAGTATACACACCTGGCAGGACTTAACAATTCACTTTAAGGTTACAGGGCCCTGTCACACCATCAGGAGTGTGTTCCAGTGCGTTCGGCCTCTGGAACGCACTGGAACGCAACCCGGCCGGCTCAGTTTTTTTGGGGGTGCATTGAACTCAATGGCACCGCAGCCACGCCCCCCCACCCGTGGTGTGATCACCGGCACCCGAATGCGTGGTACATTAATGCCTGCGTTCCGGCCTAGTGTGATCTGCAAAAAATTGTGTTTGCAGCATGTTTTGCAGATCGTAATGTGCCACGTGTTTAGGTCCCGGTGTTCTATCAAAAGCTCCAACTCATCGAGATCTCCTACTACCTCACTTCCGGTGGTCAGAAAGACTGGAGCTCTGTACAGTTGCGGTGCACATGCGCGTATAGCGTTTTCAGAACACTCATCGAGTTTGCCACCTGCTGAATTATTGTTAAAATGCAACTGTACAGAGCTCCGTCAGTCTTTGTGTTTTGCAGTCTAACGCCGTCTGGTCAAAATCTCCAACTTGCAAGTGCCCGGTGAGGTAGTTGGAAATTTCGACGATAGAACATCGGCAATCGCACCGCGGGTGGGGGGCGTGGCTTCGGTGCCATTGAGTTCAATGCACTGCCACACCCCCTCCCGCCCCAAAAAACCCTGAGCCGGCCGGGTTGCGTTCCAGAGGTCGAACGCACTGGAACACACTCCTGATGGTGTGAAAGGGTGTGACAGGGCCCACAGTCACACCACACGGGTCAGTGAAACTTGATTTTATAACCAGTTCTTAGTAGCTACACATTTTCTTCAACAGCATCCACATGAGAAAATGCCTTGGCTGTTATCCATGTGATCACTACGCGGGGAGCCTGAAGCAGCATTTTCAGCCATTCTGTTCCCCTATATGTGCTCTTCCCAGCAAGCCTACATACTGTACATAGCCTAAAGATGGCTTTTGAGTTTAGGTTTGCTTTACTGCTGTACTATGTGTAGGTTGGTGTGGTTTTTCTTATTGTGTGAAAATGTTGCCTGTTTGCAGGAACTATTACTGATGCCATGCCAACAAAGACAAAGAAGAAAAGAACAGGAGCGGAATTGAAGGCTACAGACACTTCAGTGCTAAAGAAATTTCTGAAGAGATACGAGAATCATTGTGCTCAGTGCCAGTCGTCTGCCAGCCCCGCAATAACCCAAGCACTGAAAAAATGTATCCAAAATGGCACCAACTATCTCAGAGTAAGTTTGCTGTTAAAAAAGTCAACAATAAAAAACACTCTAGTGCAGAAAGACTAAAAGAATGTTCATTGCATCCTAAACACTGATGCAAACATATGCAAATAAAGAGCTTGTGCCAGGTATCTTTAGAGGTTGCCATAATCAGTTTTCCTAATGGCAAAATGTCCTGTAGATTGGTGTGAGGAAATTTTAGCTCCTATCCTATTCTAAACATTTTAGGTCAACTGCAGGTGAAATGCACTCTGAATCGTTTGAGAAATATCTGGTACTGGTGAAAAACCAATGCTAATGACCCAAGCCCAAGGACTACGGACAAAGGCTTAAAATAGTGCATGCATGAATACCTGCAAAATTGTGATTCTTGTGGCTTTCCCAATAGGTTTTCCAGTTGCTGTGCAGGCATAGCAAGACCTAGGACCTGGGCTAAGTGCAGAGGTCATAGGTTTTCTATACCACCTATACATTTTCATAATGGGCAACGACCATCACTACACAAATCCAAAGTCCTAATGCCCTGTGTTCTGCATTCTCATTTTATTGACAGCTGGGTTTAGTAAAACAAGTAACAAGTCGGTGATGAAACAGAAGGAGAGGCGGGATTAGCACAGAACTAGAACCTGATTGCATGGCAAAAAACAAAAGCATTTCCTGTTGAGAACTTTCTGTGCATGAATTATTGCATCACTACCCTCACATGGTAGCATGGTCCCCTGAGCACCCGTCCTGACTTCCTGTTTTACAATGACACCCTTGTGTGTAGAGGTGGACCGAAATGCAAATTTCAAAACCGAAACGAAACCGAAATAAAAGAAAATATCAGGCCGAAACCAGAAATGTTTTTATTTTAACTTTTTCAAATTTTTTCAAATATTTTCTTTTTATTTACTTTTCATAAACTTTTAAATTTTTTTATATATATATTTTTTAATATTTTTATATTTTACTTTAGTTTTAGGGGCTTCGGGGAAATATTAGGAGTCTAAACAGACCCCTGATATTTCCCTTGTAAAATAGGAAAAAGAGATTGGGGATACAGAGTCCTCAATCTCTTTTTCTGCAGCCCCTGCTATCAATGAACAGGAATCCTCTATGAGTGTTCCTGTTCATTCATAACATGGGGACAGAGTATGTTTACTATAACTACAACTATGAATGAACAGGAGGTGATGTAGATCACTTCCCATTCATTCATAATTGAGGATATAGTAACTATACTATGTCCTCAATTATGTACAAATACTTAGCAATCACTGATCACTGAGTATTTGCATTGCCTCTCCTTTCTGACAGCTGTCACAGAAGGCGGAGCGAGCGGTGCAGGGAGGAGAGCTCGGCCTCCTGTGACAGCGAGGGCTGTCTCCGCCCACACACCGCTCTGCCGGATTGTGACAGGAGGCTGAGCGGTGTGGGAGGAGAGACGCCGGCTGCTCACAGCGCTCTCCTTCCCCAGCGCTTGGGCAGCTGTCACAGTTTCTCTCCTACCCGCTGGGACACGGAGCAGCGCCCAGCGGGGAGGAGAGAATACACGGATGCACCGCTCTATCGGCATTATGCTTCCACAGCCGATATATCGGTGCATCTCTACTTGTGTGTGCTAGTAAGCTGTTTGTGTCTGCACAAACACATAGACACTGCAAATCAAGCTACTCCGCTCCCCACTGGCCCCCTCTACTCCCATCTCCAAGCTAGTAGATGAACAGTTGCTGGAGTCTGCTCTGTCCCTTGTGATCTAGTACTGGACAGGACGTTCAGGGAAGCTGAGCTATGAGATTTGGAAGCTGCTGTTCAGAAACATGATGATTGCAAGAGTTTGGACTAAAATGTAAAGCAATGCTTTGCTGGACAATCTATATTTGTTTTATCTGGATTCAATATTGAAAAAAAGTTTTAGAGTTTAATACTGCTTTCACTTTTAATTTCAGAGTGTTTCTTTTAAAGTACAAATAAAGGCCAAATCCAGTTACTGTGTGATGCAAAGCCTCATAAACTAAACAAAAACTTCCTTTACCTTCCTTGACAATCAAGTCAATCCTCATTCATTTGTGTCTCACACGCTCCCTCTCCCAGATACTGCAGCTCACAGTGGGAGGGTTTCAGCCACAGAGGCAGTGTTGTCAATCCACAGCAGTGGGCAGGTCTGGGTGTGGTCAGTTGCCGATTGACAAGGCTTGTCAATTAGCAGTGACAATGTCGATAGCCACGCCCCCTGTAACATTTTTTCATCCCACTGTAGTACAAGCAGGCACAGCCTACCTGAGAGTGGAAGCTTTGCTCTAAATTCAAGAGCAGTGCAGCATTGCTGCCATCACATCCAAGGAAGTTGCATTAGGTGGGCATTAATGGCAGGTTCAATGGGCATTTGTGGGACTAAGAGAAAACCGTGAGTGCAGGAGTTCTTATAATTAAGTGTCTGCACCACATTTTTTTTTAATAAGAGGTTATAGTTCTACTTTTAAAAAAAACAGATACTTTAGTTCCACATTAAAAGTTTGCAAATACAACTTACTCAATATAAGCGGGTTAGTTTATAAAAGGTTCTATACTCGTCAGTGCCTCGGGGCGCTAGTGCCGTGCGAACGAGGTGGAACATTTATAAGTGAATCCCAAGGTGTCATTTTAGACCAGTGTCTAGAGACAACATTGGAAATTTTACAATGTGATTTACAGGTTATAGATGTGATTATGTTGGTCCACTTTTGTAGATGATCCTTTATGGAAAGTATGTGAATAGTATAAATTGGCTGCCTATTCTAGTGTTACAATGATCCTTAAATGTAGTACTTGTCTGTCCCTGTAGATTGTCCTGTCTGGCCCTGGGAGCCCTTCAAACAGCTCAGTGCCAGTTTTATTAAGACCACTGCTGATGACAATCCGGGATGAACGATACATGCTTGGGACAGACCTGTGCTTGTGGGGAATCTCCCTCAGTAACCAGGATGTTGCCAGTCTTGTAAGTTTCTTGTGCTGCCAATATTTGCATCTTCTTGACTATCTTCTTGGCTAATCGGCCTCTTCGTTCGATCCCCCACTGGGTTTTTTGGACTACCATTCGAGCTAGCTAAATAAATGCATACCACATCATCAAAGCCAATAGACGCTGCAGGTTAAATTCATTTTGCTGCAATATAATGCAAAGCACTTTGTTAATGACTCAGCCCTTTATTTCAATTAACTTTTCTGGCTTGGGTATGCCCACCTGCTGTGGCTATCACACAGTTTTGTTAGTCTCACTGTTAGATTATTCATTGATTTTATACACAGTTGGTGATAAATTCATGGTATGGTGGAACTGGAGATCTAGTTGTGGGCAATGCCTTAAACAATGAATAAAACGTATAAACTCAATTATACATCTAAAGAAATGTACACATTACAGAATAAAAAATGCTTCCTCTAGTAAGATACATTTATATGGTCTCTTCCCATTATTGCAGGCCATATTGTTGGAACTTAGTGGAAGAACCTCCTATCCGTTTGTAAAGCTAGAAGCCATAGATTGTGGGATGGATGTATGGTCGGTGGAGAGGCTGGGGAAATCCATAAAATGCAGCCAGTTAACATCTGTAACCTTGGATTACAATGAGTAAGACATTCAACTGTACATATAGTCCACGCTGATATTCCTGTCTATGTGACCAGAACATTTTCTTGTTCGTCAGGTTCCAGGATGAAGGGATACAGGGTCTCATTCGTGGCCTGGAAGGGAACATGAAGATTGTTTCTCTTAGTCTGTGTTATTGTAAACTTGGTCCTTCCAGTGGGGCATTACTGGGAAAGCTTTTGGCAGAGTCAGCAATAAGGTAATGAGTCATGATCATGTAGATGATATTTGTTACCAATTGAACTCTCGCTTGTAATTTAAATCAAGCTTATGTGTTTTTTCTGAATGGAAACTACTTTACACCTGCAGTAGCTAAACTATATGTCTTGTTCAGTTTCCCATTTCTTATTGTGAACTGCCTTTGAATTTTCTCAGGTGCCTGTGGTAAAAACAAATCTAAAATTAAATACTTTGAGGACTTACATGTTTGTATCACAATATCAGACCTCACCACAGCTTGGCAACCGCTGAAGGTGGGCATTATGGCACCTTCTTCCCATTGACTTTCACTAAGGCAATACAGCTTATTATTAGAGCCTCTAAAAGGGTGGTGAGAAGAGAACAACTACAGTTTGAACAGGGGTTACCACCAAATACGAGTCTATATGAAAGAAATAACTACTTTGTTGACAACTGTGCCCTTCACCAAGAGACTTATGGAAGAACGTAATAAAAACATCACGTGGGAGAGGATGAAGATCAATCCCAGTAAATGCAGAAGCAACGCCATTGTTACGAGTCAAGGTTCCATATTGACATAACACCTGTTGCTGCAAAATGAATGTAACTTGCAGCGTCTAGTGGCTTTGATGTATTTTAAAAATGCCAGTGAAGAGTTTGGGTTGATAGTATGATACAAGACTCAAGAACATCAAGCCATTTGAACAACTTAGAAAGAAAACCATCATGTGTATATAGATTGCATCAATAAGACTTTGCTGCCAGCAAAATTCAAGCTGTGGTGCTTTCAGATTGGCATATGTTCAAGACTTAAGTGGCCTCTAACAGTTTGTGAAATCTTCATCAACAAAGTAGAAAAGCTGAAAAGACATCATTACATATGTGGCTTGAACTTGCACCATGCCTAAACCACGTTGGACACTATGTGAACAGTCAATTGGAGTTACCAATTGTAAGACATGAGAAAGAATTTAAATGCACCGAAGCAAGGTTGGTCATGACCCTCACTGAATCTCAAGATACTGTTATTTAAATAGTGCCTCCCCATGTGGAAACAGGGAGGAAGTGGACTTAATTGGACCCCATTTAGTGTGCTAAGTCTATTGTTCACTTTAGGGAAATGGTTGGCCAAGCTCAACAGACTCACGCTAAAAACTCCTCAGTGGTACAAGGATGTACAGTGTCAGTGTCAGTGCAGAAGAGATGGCTTGCAGTGGAGGAGGTGAGAAGACAGAAGGAGACAGAGCGATATGCCAAGGCTGTTTCATTGGACAAGCAGGGCCAATGGACTAACTGAGAGAGCCTGGAAGAGAGGAAACGCAGCTAGTCTGACATCTGAGAATGGAGGGAAGTTTTTTTTCATCAGAGCAACCTATGACCTCCTACCCACATCCCAGAACTTAAAGCAGTGAAGTAGAGATAAGATTGTGCTTGATCTCTCTGTCAAGCACTTGCATCAAGCAATTGTGTTCTTATCAAATGCAACAAATGCCGAAAAGGGTTTTGGAATAAGAGTAAATACATCAACTAAGCTGCATAATCAGACAAGAGGGTTTGGAAATGAGGCCAGTGTACTTGGGACTCCAGGTATCACTATTGAGACCTCTGCAGACCTAGTGGGTTTATCAATGAATTTCAAAGAAGTAGGGTGCCCACCTGATGACCTCTTTTCACACCAATGCTAACTTCAAAAGTGCTGACTTACCTTAGGGACTGAAACATTAAGTTATATAAGCTCTACTTTTCCTTTTTCATAAGATAGCAGCCATCACTTCAAATCAGTTTAATTTCAATGAGCAGGTTAATTTTCAGTGTTTGTGGACAATAGTAACAACTATATGATTTCTTGTTCACTGTATATGGTCAGTCTGATTACTTTGCAATGTAATTATTCCTTCTTGTCTAATCCGTGTGTTTTGCAGTGAACTGGACCTGACTGGGAACTATCTGCAGTGCTCTGGGGCAGTGGACCTAATCACAAGTATAGCAGAGTATGCCCAGGGTCTGGCTACAGAGCGGCCACCTGAGCAGCCCATTGACTTAGCTCATCAGATTCTGGAAGGTAAACGTGAATTTCACATTCCTTTATTCTTGATGAAACATATAAATCACGTAATTGTAGATTTAAGGCGGCCATAAAGGACCCCATCCTTACAACCAATGTAATTGATATGAGTATGTCTTGAGATAGTTGGATATACTCAAAGCCAACATTTTCATTTTGGGTAGCGTTGGGAATGTTAACACCATTCTTAGATTTTATTTTTTACCATCTCTGTTCTATTGTGGAAAGTTCCCTTTACTTCCTGTCCTGTCAACACAATGGGAAGTGAGAGGAAATCTACCCAATGTAGGAGAAAACCTCTCTTAGACAGCTGTCACCAGAATAATTGGCTAACATTGGAAGATTTACCTTCTATTTCTGCTTTCCAACAACTCAGAAATATAGCTTTTTCCTCACATTCAGTTCTAATGACACTGGTCACCAGGACAAACAAAGCAGGAAATTCTACCCTGTGGTGACACAAAGTGTTATAAAAACCTGACAGGGCACCTACCGCTTTCCCACTCCATTTAAAACCATATTTCAACTGTGAAACATCTCAACATGTTTTCAGCATGTTGAAAATGTTTGTGGTTTGAAAACTGACAAATGTCTTACCGAGAGACATGCCCTATAATAGCACTATTACTAATTAGACCATAACATGTAATAAAGGTCTTTTCTTGCAGGTCAGTTACTTCATCAGCCTGTTTACTGTTTTTGAGGTTGGTGGCCAGTGGCGGAACTACCAGGGTCGCAGAGGTCGCGGTCGCGACCGGGCCCTGGAGTTCCGCCACTTGGAGGGGGCCCAGGACAGGAGGAAGGGGCCCCTGGTGACCGCTGATTACCAGGATATTTATTAACCCCGGTAACCGCTAATGTCAGTCCCGGGACATCTTCCTCCTGTCCTGGGCCCTACATGCTTCACGCTGCTCCCCTCACCTTGTTCCGGGCGCAGCGTGAAGTATCATCCAGCCGGGCAGCAGCCAATGAGTGGGAGCGGTGTAATCACCAGTGCCGAATAGAGCTGCTGCGGACATGAAGGGGGAGACCGAGACAGGGAGCTGGAAGTATGAAGGAAGGTGACATGGGGTCCGGGAGCGGAAAGCTGGGGACATGAAGGGGGAGATAATGGGGAGCTGGGGACATGAAAGAGGAGAGTGTTTTTTTCCCCTTGTCTAAATTTTGTTTAAAAAAAAAAAAATCTAATTTGTTTCTTCTTGGGGGGGGTGGGGGGACCCTTCATGGATTCTTGCATAGGGGCCCTGAGGTCACTAGTTATGCCACTGCTGGTGGCTGTCTGCATAGGAGCCTACTGGTTCTCATGGAAGTCATTAATAGGCTGCAGAGTAAATTCTGCCATAGCTGTCCTACCCACTGTCCTACCCTCCTACCCACCTTACCCATGCCCCCACCCCCCACCCCCCCAGGCATTTTATTGGCATTTAGGACTGCCTGGAATTGGTGGAACTTTCAAGAGGAGAAATATCTCTGCCAAAGCCCCCTGTCATCTTCTCAAAAGAAACGCAGTCTTGTTGACCTTTTTGTTTCAATATGAATGAAGTCACTGATAAGGAACTTGTTCTAGGTCAGTGAAAGACTGCCTTGGAAAATGTAAAGTCTATTTGAGGTCCAAAGAAGGTATTCTTCTGTACAGTTGTGATCAGGCATGTATTTCTAACCTGTCAGTCCATAATTCTCTTGTTAACCCTGGACCCGTTATGCTCCAGTTTTCCCTCTGTCCTTGAACACTTGGCCCAGAGGGTCACAAAGTAAGAGGCAGCAGGAGGGGCTAATCTCTGCGAGATTCTGATTGATTTTTACACTGGCCGTTCTTAGGGATAACCTAAAAGCTTTCTGCAACACACACATTAGCATATACACAATTGTGTCATTTCTAGACCAGCATCTTATTCCCAGCAATAGATGATGACTCTGGATGATGCCAGAATATAGCTGGTGTCATCCTTCTAGGAAAAAAGAAGACTAAGCCATTGTCAGAGGGAGTACGGTGAGGTCTCTGAGACATAATACACATCAGTAAATGTGCAGGGCCTTCCTTACTATCTTGTCTTGAATTGTATTGTGATTGTAATGTCTTCCTTATATTGTAAAGCGCTGCACAAACTGTTAGCGCTGTATAAATCCTGTATAATAAAAATAATACTTGCATGTATAGTATGTTTAGTAATGTGTAGTAACATGAAAAAAGTACATGTGATACTGCTAGGTCCACTTTAAGTTGCAGCCACATAACAGCAAGGATTAGAAGATTTCCCACATGCTGCCCTCTCTATTTATCACTGTATGTGTGCATTCCATTTTGCATACAGTAAGAATACAACTTACTGTGAAACTCCCTTGTAAATTGGAACATCAGGAAAAAATTAAACCTGTGACCTATTTGCGATTGCAATTAAGTGGCCTCTCAACCCATTTTATGACATGTGATAACAATACCCCCATGTAATGAAGATGAACACACACACACATGTTGGAAGTTCAGCCTGGGTGGCAACCATGATTCCCTCTATAGATACAATGGAGGAGTAAGCATAGCCACATAGGTACAGGAAGTGTCGTATATGAAAGATTACCAGGTTAAAATGAAGGGGGGAAAAGCCTAAAAAGAAAACTAATGCAGCCACTCATCTAAGGACTGATGAGCTGAAATATATTACATTTTTGTTCTGCTGCTGCATGAATCCCTTACTGTTGTACTTTGTAGTCACCCACATTTTAGTAACTCAGTTTATAACAAAAAACATGTTTCTAGTAGATTGTAGTGAGAATATATAATGTCAATTCTACTCGCAGGTTTATATAACTATCCTTCAGTGTCTCTCTTCATTTTCTGGTAATATATATCAGTTTGTGTTCTTTGTTAATCGTACAGCACAAGGTCAAACTGGCATTTATACAGCGATATCAGGAGAGCCCGAAATAAGTGAAAGACCTCCAATGTCACCTGACAGAACAGCTGAACAAAAAAAGAGCAAGAAAAAGGGTAAATGGGTTGTATTATCTCTATTTATCCAAATGCTGAAGACCAATCCATGGGGGATGTACACATGGCTAACACAAGCGCAGATGTTCACTGGATTGCTTGAGACGCAGGTAGAGAAGACACAAAGTATTGTCCTAGTGATACCTGTTCGTGGATAACTACATTAAAAAGCTTTTGAGACAATAAAACTCCTTCTTCAGGAATAGTGACAAGTAAACCGCACAATGCAAAATTCTATACAGATTCTGAACAAAAGGCCTTGTATGCAGATAAAATGTACATAGGATAGTAAAAATGAAATCTAAATAGATAACCGACAAATTGGTAAGCTTCAGAAGGTCATGTATTAGCACTGCAATGAGCAAAGTCTGATTCTATTGAGATGCTCATGGCAGATAGTTTACATAAGGTGTCTGAACCAGTGAGACATTGCTTCATCATTGTTCCATTGGTAATGAATGAGGTTGTCCAGTGACTCCGATTAGCGAAGGTGTCATTTGCCCCTCATTGATTCTACCATTGGTGTGATGTCTTCAGAAGGGATGAGTTCAGGTTCCGACTGAACCTGGACTCCTCTGAACTGGGAAGGAGCTCCTCCCAAACACCGAGGTAGCTCCTTCCATGCTACCCAATCAGATACGGGCAGCTGCAGCCTAATGTAAGCAAAGGGGAAGGATGCAGTAATGTAATTGACCCTATATGGCCACATGTCTATATTTGGTAAATTAAATTTACCTAATATGGCTATGTGGCCATATAAGGCAAATGGCATCAGCACAAGCATCCTTCCCCTTTGTTTACATGCAGCTGCTGCGCTGGCAATGTCTGGCTGACAGTTGATTGGGTGGAAGTGTCCATGGTACTTCCTTGTTCAGAGGAGCTCAAGTTCGGACTGGGTTTGGTCCCAACCTGAACTCATCCCAAGTCTTTAGTGGCAGAATAATCGTGGCCCTAATATTACTCTTTCTTCCAGTACACATACAGTACCTCGGTTCACAAACTTAATTTGTTCCACGATTCTGGTTGCGAACCAAATTGGCCGTGAACCGAATCAAACTGTGATCCGACCGCGATCTCGACTAGAGGAAGCCACGACCATGTGTCAGAGCAGGGAAGATGGCTGCGGTTGTGTTCGTCACCCGATGCGGAGTTCGAGGCAAAATTTTGCCGGACTTCCTGTTCGAGAACCGAATTGTTTGCGAACAGATGTGTTTGTGAACCTAGGTACCACTGTATATCTTTTTATGCTCTGCAATTTCAATTCATTCCTATATCACTTTATTTGGCTTTGGATCACTAAGTAGATCATGGTGGTATGGTAGTGATATGTTCTGGTAGTGCATTGACATTTTTAAAGCTAAACTCCATTCAAATATAGAGACAGAAATTAATACAGTTTTGTATTTATGAATCCATCATTAAATGCCAGCATTAGCAGTGTTCCTGCATTTGCCTTGATAGCAGCTTCTTTCAGACCTTGTACAGCTAAGCTCAGAGTCTGAGAGGAAGAAGTGGCAGCAGAAGGAGCCAATCAGTTCATTTGCTGACAAAAACCATGCTGATAGGAGACCAAAGCAGAGTGACAGCGAGATAAGCATATCACTGCTTCTCCTTCACTGTCCACACAGGATGGAGGAGTCCCATTCTGGCTTTAATTCAATTTAGAAGACTGATGACAACTTGAGGCCAAAAACAAGCACTGCATGGGAACAGCTACAGATTGAATTCATATTTATATATATTATCTTTTTTCTTGGGCTATGTTTTTGTTTTTAGTTTGGACTGGAGTTTTGCTTTAACACTTGAAGCATTCAAGAAGTGATAACCCAACTTGATGAATAAGACACAGGGAGTGCAACAGTATTGATATCTGAATATTGGATGATATATAAAGCGTCACCAATTTTAATCAAATATTCTTAGGGAAAAAGAGAAAGAAAAAGACAGCATTGCCGCCTGGCCCCTGGGTGACCAAGTTACACCTGGCTGATAATGGCATTGATGCCATGGGGAAGGAAAGGGAGACCGGACTGTTGGAATTCTCACAGCTGCTGAACAGGTAAGTACTTTGCATGTACCTAGGATGCCGATATAATGAGTTCACAGTGCACAAAAGCTCCTGGGGTCATTAGAAGTAATTGTGATGAGTTATTTTACCTTGAATTACCATGTGTGCACTCAGTTTACATTCTGTACAGAATAGAGAGGCATATCTCTGTCCTTTACTCCCTTTACCTTTTTTTGGCTTCTAACCTCACTGTACCACAAAACCTAACCCTACCCATCAACCTAACCCCTAACCTTAAAGAAGAACTCCAGGTGATATAAAAATTTACCCTTGCACTGGGGCTCCCCTGTGCTTGTTTTGCTTTAGGGGCTAAAATAAATAAAATATACTTATCTGATCCTCAGTCCTGCGGCAGTGAGTGCTCACCTTTCTCCTCGCTCTGGTGGTGGAATGTCCCTCGGAGTCCTTAAGTCTAATGTAACTGCATTAGATGTGATGCTGTCCAGATCCTTAGACAGTCAGAGCCCAGGGAAGAAGAGGCTGCGGGGACCGGTCTATGAGCCAAAACGAGACTGAGGATCAGAATTCTTTATTTTAGCCCTCTAGACCAAAACAAGCAGTTAATTTCATGGCGATAATGGCAAAATTACTATCGCAGGGAAATGACCTGCAATAAAAGCTTTAATGCTTATTACAAGGCCCAGATTATTACAGGGTATCTATAGTCAGAAATTAAATATACATATGTATTTATATATTGAATATCCATAAGTTCTATTCCACTCCTAATAATCATATTGATCTAGAAGTGTGTAAACTTACTTGCTGAAGTTGCCCATAGGACCTCAAAGCACCGACACAATTTCACTCAGCCCTGTGAAAATACACTTTCTTGTGTCATCACTCTAACTACAACTCTATGTCTGAACAATGTAACATTGTCATTCCTCATTGGAAGCGATGCATGATGGGACATGTAGTCTTCAGGAATCAAGTTTGTATCAAATCAAGCAGCAGGAGGAGACACAAAGCACACTGGGAATCCAGGAATATGACGAAAGTGATAGGCAGACATAGGCAGCACTCACTACACAAAAGGGATTTGATTGTGTTATGAAAAACAATTCTTGTATGTATTCCTATTACAATGCCAGTGTCATAACAGAATAGGATATGCTGGGACTTTAGAACATTTAGCACTGAAAAACCTGCATCACAGTGAGACAATCTACTTATTTCCTCTTATTGTGACATGTTTTTGGATCTTCACTGTTTTTCTAGTCTGATCCATTACTCGGAACAGCTTTCTGAATTGGATCTTGATAACAATTGTCTTGGGGAAATGGCAGCAACTGACATCCTGGAGGCCTTAACCTACAGAAATCAAGGTATGTTTTCATCGTCAATATTTTTTATTGAAAGTTTTGTTACAATAGTTGAAACATGGACTGCAATAGTTGGAGTCACAGGTACCATAATGTAAAATCATTGCATGTTTTATCTTACAGTAACACTGCTCCCAATTTAAAAAGGCTGTCCCACTTTTGGAACCATATCCCCCTGTCCATCTTTGCTCTTCAGTTGTCCATCTTTTTTGTCTGATGTAATATATATATTTTTAAAACATGAACCATTTAAAGGAGAACTATGAGGTGAGTGAAAATCACTCAGCCTCATAGATCTAGCCGACCTGTGACAATGAAATTGTCACAGGTCGGCTCAATAGATCGGGAAATGAGCGAACACATACTGTCGCTTGCTCACTTCTCGATCCTGTCCCTGCAGAGAGCCGTCACTGTCACTAACAGCTCCCTGCAGGGATTCCCCCCTCCCCTGTCCGATCCCCCAGGGCTGACTGGCGGAATGGACGGGGGAGGGGGCGGGTACACCCGGCTCTGCCTCTAGATAGGCAGAGCCAGCTGTCACTCACGCAGCTGGGTGGATCCAGACAGTAATGTCAGGATCCGTCCCGGCTGCGGCGGTCTCAGTATACCACGAGCTGTAGCTCGCGGTATACTGAGCTTTGGGTCACGGAAGGACACTAGTTTGTGTCCTCCCGTGACCCTGGGGAGAACTATGGGGAAAAGCACTGACCCCATAGTTCTCCTTTAAATACCAAACATGTTATATTACAGTAATGCTTTCATCCAACCTCTAAATTGATGAACTGGTTATTTTAAAAAGCCAGCATGAAGGTAAAATAGTGGTGAAAACAAGGACTGGTGGGTTTAACCAATAATGTTTTCTGTAATTATTCTTCATGATCTGTGTAACTGAGGGCATGGCATAGGTGTGTCTCTTGCCTACACACTATGCTTAAAGGTGTCCCTCTTTCCTATTTTAGCAGGGTGGGAGAAATGCTGTAACATTAATACACCTATAATTGAGTAGTAAATATAATTAAAATAAACACGTAGGAGGTAGATGCTCCATTCATTAAGTTTTTATTTTTTTTAAATTGGTAGTGTCATATTTAAAGTGAAAATCAAGACAATAATCCTGAGATCTAATTAACATTTCTTTTCTTTTACACTATTTGCTCAGCAGCTAGCATGTCTTATATATCAGGCACTCAATCTTGGATCAGATCTGGGCAACTGTTCCTGTAAAATGTGGTGGCAGTAAAATGTTTCTGCTAGTTCTGTGTCCACCTTGGCTTAGAGTGTGCACAGAAGGTGGACTAAGTGATATCAGCAACTATGCAACCAATCTCTTCTCTCATAGGAGCCATTTGCTTGTTTGACTTGGATCCTCTCATAGGAGCCATTTGCTTGTTTGACTTGGATCACACCTATTGAGTGTTTTGCATAGGAGGTCTCATCCCATTGTTATGTGACTGCATCAAATGATAGCAACTAGTGCTTCTGCACCAATATTTCCTCCAATGCTGCATTATTTTTTTTTAAAGAGGAAACAGGACAGCCTGGCCAAGTGACCTGGGATTAGAAGACTTTTATTGGTCTCAACAATTTAAATGTATAAGTAAAGTTTTGAAAGCATATATTAGGGCTTTCTCTTCTAAACTATATCTTCATACTGATGGGTAGGTGAGCCATAGTTGATAGAATAGATTTTGGGACTTAGTTGGTAGAGAAGCAGGCAACCCAGACATAAAGTAGTGGCAGTATTTACCTTGTTTACTCTACTCATTTGCTTTCTTTCATTTTAACAATACCTCAAGCAAATCTTAAGTTCCTCCTGCAATGGGTCCACTGCAAGGGTCACTGCTAATTTTTATTTAGGGTATAATGAATAAGGTGAAATATTTGCTTTGTTCCTGGATCCCCTGTCAACCTGTGCATTACTCTTGGGATGTAGTCGGGACCTCGGCATCCTCACGTTCAATTAATTAGCAGTGTCGAAAAAACTTACACATTATACATTAATATTAAGAGCATTAAAAATGCATAAATAATACTCTTTACAATTTTTGCTTACATAAATATTAAAGGCTAAACCCAAGAACCAAACCCAATCTAAACCCAAGAACAAAACCCAATCTAAGCCCAAGAACAAAACCCAACCTAAGCCCAAGAAAAAAACCCAATCTAAACCAAAGAATAAAACCCAAAATAAACCCAAGAACGAAGTCCAGTCTAAACTCAAGAACAGAATTCAGTCTAAATCCAAGAATAAACCCCAATCTAAACTCAGGAACCAAACTCAATCTAAACCAAAGAACAAACTCAAATCTAACCTCAGGAACTAAACCCAATCTAAACCCAAGAACAAAAGATGAATGTTAAATAGAAAGCCGCTGGATCGCTTGTATTTTGTGCGGGTGTGCGTCCCCCTGCCACCATTGCAGCCGCCAGTCCCGAGATCCGCTGTGCCCGGTGCGGGCTGGGACTGGCAAGGCGGCTCTGTCACCAGAGATCAGTACACTTTCTCCCTCTGATCTCCTCCCTGTTCTCTGAACGCGGGAACTGATGTGTATTACATCGCTTCCCTGTTCAGCTGTCATTACCGCCCCCAGAAGCTGGTGAAGCAGATCTCTGCTTCATCAGCTTCTCTGGGGGTACCTATGTGACATTAGGAGTCTTAGAGACCCCTGATGTCTCCATAAAGAGGACCTGTCACGTGCTATGTGACGTTTGATAGGTAAACATCCAAAGAAGGAAATCTGACTTGTTGCGTCCAAGTCAGATTTCCTTCTTTGGATGTTTACCCATCAATTGTTTGGAAACATGGCTGTTAAACTAGACATCATTGGTTGAGGTTGTGTTCACCTGGCATATGCTTATTCAAGCTGTATTGATGGTATTGTATATTCTCATCAATTGAATATGTTTTATCATATTTATTCTATGTATAATAAATTTCGATACATTTTTATCCATTCATTGGTCTCATACCTCTCTTCAAAACCCTTATTTCTCTATATGTTATCATGTTCAATACTTCTATAGGGTCAGAGGTTAGTGTAGGGAACCACTGTCGAGGCTATTCACGAGTTTTTTAGCTGCACGAAATTAGCCATTAGGAGTATTGTATCTAATCCTACTATCTATTTTGGAATTGACACTTAGGAAACACTGCATCAGTCACAGAGAGTCGGGCAGTGAGAAAAGTTGTGTAAAATATATGTGAAGGTGGTTAGGCATCCCAATATTCTGTAATTAATGTATATTTTAAAGGCTACAGTGAAGTCATTTCTGGAAACAGTTTCCTCAATATTCCTCTTCACAGATTTTCTGAACTACTAATCAACATTTGCTCTCCTTATCGTTTCCTCTTTCTAGAAAAGTTACCACGCTTGAAAATTAAAGTCACAGCCCAGATTTCACCAATTACATTTAAAGCCATCCTTAAGCAGAGCAGAAAACTAAAAGCCCCAAAGAAGAAGAGGAAAAAGGTAATTGGAACTGCATTATAGTACTGTGTACATGTGAATTAATTATTTTGACCCTTAAAGTGACACTAAAGGAGGTTTTAGTGTTTAGTGTGTTGTAAAGTATCCACAGCTCCAAGCTCACTCCCATGATGGACTACAATCTCAAGTTCAGTTTACTAACTTGTATTGAGATTGTAGTCTATCATGGGAGAGCGAACTTGGAGTTGTGGATACTTTACAACACACACAGGGACCATGGGGGACAAAAGTAGTCACCCTCCAGAAGGAAGCACAGTGTAGCAGGGCTGCCATCAGGGGGGTATGGCTGATACTCATGTAAGGGGCCCGGGCAGCCTGGGGGCCCGCCCCGGGACCCTTACATGAGTATCGGCCGACGGTGACAGGCGAGGAGGAGGCCAGGCCCATTGTAAGCTCCTCTGTACAGAGACTGATGTGACTGTGTGGGGGACATTAGAGTGTAAGCTCCTCTGTGCAGAGACTGATGTGAATGGCTCAGTGTTTTCTGTACAGCACTGCGGTATAGATCAGAGCTATATACATGTATAATAACAGTGTGTGACTGAGGGGGGACATTAGAGTGTAAGCTCCTATATACAGATAGCTCATTACGGTAGACATTTTTGGATGTAGGGCAGGGTTAGCAAGCCTGCTCACTATTTATTTACTTATTATTATCATTATTTTGTGTTATCTATCTATACATGAATTTCTTGATACTTTTATAGAACTATTTAATCTGATCATGTATGTGCACACAGTCCTAGGGTGAATCACAATGCGTTTGACACAATCATGACCATCTCTAATATGCCTCAATCATGTACCCTTAACATATAAATTATGTGGAATCCTTGATAATTATTGCCCTACCTTTGTAGAAACTCTCAAGGTAGCCATACTTTGCTTGCGGGTTGGTGTTAGTGGAGAATCGATCTGCTCCACCCTCTAACCTTTCAAGCATTGCCCGTATAGGCTATGTTGATATATTGTGGATATCAGACGAAGTAATACTGGGGACAAAAACATCAACCCACCATTTTGGATGGGGAATTATGTGGATTTACAACTGAATTAACATTGTCTTCTGTACTCAATCATGTTCCAAAAGTTGTTCTTATTCACCAATTGAATCATGTTGTGTGCCGAGGCTCACACTCTGCTCCTATGGCAGTGCTAGAGGAGAGCAATTATTCCATTCCACAGCCCTACGAATAATCGTGTAAGGGCCTCTTTATATGCAATTTGGTCATTCGGCATTTGAACCCCAATCATGTATGTCCATAAGAACATAGGATGAATCATGTATGTTTCTGTTAATGGTGAGGTATTGTGCATGTGGAAAGAGCTTGTTTAGGGACCATCTATTCTATTTTTATCATTGGCTATAAGCCTTCTTTGTTCCTTTTTTAAGATTCATATAAAATAAATAATTATATATTTTTACATTTTTTGGTTGGAGTTGTCATTTTCCGGTGCTTTCAAAACCCCACTTTTTCTTTCCTTAAAATAATGTATTTTGTATCCTATATACAGAGACTGATGTGACTGGGGCTGCAACAACTAATCGACTAGGTCAATTAGTTACTGTATAATAATAACAGTGTGACTGGCTCAGTGTGGTGGCGGTGGAGGCGGGGGGGGCCCGGCCTAAAGCCGTGTAAGGGGCCCCAAAATTTCTGATGGCAGCCCTGAGTGTCAGCACCAATTCAGAGATGATTTGAGGATCTACAGCTGAGTGATACACAAATAAGACACATTTATGTTAATAATTAAGGAACTTGAATGCATTTTTAAGATTTAACTTCTAAATTTAGTGTCACTTTAAAGACATAAATGATAACTTTGTTTTGCTATAATATGATTGAAGAACAATGAAATCTATTCGGAAGAACAATAACGCACAAAAGTGAATGGACAGAAGTACAAATCCTTTGGCTGATAAGACAGTTCACATATGTGTCTTATAACTTTGTGTTTAGCTGTTTGCCTGAAGTTCAGGTTTAACTCAGCTAACCCTCCCTGGGAGACAACAGTGAATAGCAGGCCAAAGGATGAGTCTTACTGCCTTGCCTTCAGCAACAGAGGTGCAGAAAAAGCAATTGTACCTATACAGCCACCATTTGATGACAACTCTCGTACCCTAACTCAGCCTTTCTCAACTGGGGTGCCTCCTGACTTTGCCAGGGGTGCCTTTAAATGTTTGCTAAAGGGGGGGCTCTCATGCAAAGGGGGCTCCAGATGTGAAGGAGGGCCTCTGATGCAAAGAGGCTCCAGATGTGAAGGGTGGGACTTCTGATATGAAAGGGGGCTTCAGATGTGAGTTAGGTTTCAAATTTGAAGGTAGGCTTCTAATGTGAAACGGGGAGGGAGACACTCTGATGTATAGGGGGAAATTCCACATTGACTTTTTTTTTTTTTTTGCCTTAAAATCTTTACCAGACCCCTGTCTAGGATAAGGACTTGGTATTAATTTTTCTGGGAGGGGAACCATATTTTGTTTTTTCCATGTTACATTTTACACTGGGGTGTCTTGGGATTTTGCATACTTTAAAAGGTGCCGTGACGGAAATAAGGTTGATAAATGCTGACCTAATTTAATTCAAGAAGCCATCCTGACTATGGTCACCATGGTGCGGAAGATGGCCTGTTATATTTTGTAAGAAATGTATTCTGTGAAATTCTGTTACTCTTTAAATACAGTGAGGGGAATTTGTCAAAAGTGGAGCAGACAAAATCTGGAGCAGCTGTGCATGGCAATCAATCAGTTTCTCTCTTTAATTTTAAAATCTTAACTGAACAGACTGAAGAGAGAAGCTGATTGGTTGCCATGGGCAACTGCTCCAGATTCTGTCAGATTCTGATCATGTTGCAATGTTACTGGCACGTGTTGTACTATTGATTTATTGCTTAAAGCTGAATTCCAACCTTACTTTCAGTCTTGCA